TTATGCTAGCTAGATTCAAAGTCATTAACACTGCATAGAATTTGACAATATGTTTAACATTTTTTCACGAACGATAGGGCATGTGTACTGGCGACCGCTGCAGCCGAACTACTTAATAGGTGTCCTACATCCGGAATTAATGGACACCCAGCAGCCAATCAGAATCAAATATTCACCCAGACCATGGTGTAATTCACATTAAAAGTCTTCCAGGGGTTAGGCATAACCCCTTCCTTTCTTGAAAGGCTTTCATTGTGATGTAATCTGTAAAAAGATGGACTGGAAGTGGTGAGAATGACTTTTGTCTATGAATCTCACCTGTCGGGGGACTCAGGATCAAAGCAGGTCTTGAGGACGTCGGTGACCTCCGGATCACAGCAGTCTCCATCATCATAGTCATAGTGTATACTGTTGCATTCCATGTTACACACTCCATCCTGTCTCTTCCAGTTGTAGCAGGGCCCCAGTCTGAGGCAGTCCCCTCCATCGTGGCCCGTCCTTGGGTGGTCACACTCAGGGTCACACTGGCGGTTCCCAATCTTCCCAATTCGACAGTTGCTGAGGATAAACTGCTGTTGGAGGCTTGAGTTTTTCACGGTGTGCACGCTCAGATCCAGGGTGATGTTGTAAGGGCGAAAGGCCTCAGTTAGAGCCTGGTGCTGGAGTTGGATCTGGGCTTGCGACACAGTGGGGTTTCCACCATCGTCATTGGAAAGGTTGACGATCCGGTAGCGAACTCGCTTGGGGGCACGGAGCTGCCAGTTGTTGTTGTAGCCAGAGATTATGTCGATGTTGTCGCAGGGTGTCAGGCCGCAGGGTGGCGGCAGGAATGAGGACACAAGTTCTTGTTCAGGGACGGGAGTGGTGATGATGGTTGGATGGAGGCCAGCTTTGTATGGAGTCCATAGCTGCCCCACCTCAAAGTTAGAATATTATTACAATATTTTAATTCATTTCAATACTACTTCCACTCCAATTACAATTCATATCAAATAAGTAATGTTGATAAGTATGCTTATAATTACATTAGTGAAGTCAGCCCACAACGCCAGGACTGGCTCGCTTTTGTCAATTTGAAGTGGTCGCTTCAGCAGGTCCTCATGAGAGCGGGCATAGCCCCACAAGACCACACCCCCTATATGGCCCCTGAAGCTGTGTCCCTGATCTGATTGGTTACTGCCAAGGAAGAGGGTTCTGCACGTCTTCATGAAAGGACTGTAGAGATTCCCCGACTGGAGACTGCTCTCTCCCACCTGAGAGGAAAAGCAGAGGACGACAACCAAGAAGAGAAGAGGGGCAGAAACAAATGTTTCTCCATTTCATTATGTTATGGACAATTTTATTTATTTTTATATATAAAGTTATTAGAATTAAGTTGTCCAGGTTTTACAGCTGCCAATATAAAAGCAATCACTTAAAAAATTAAGGCATATAACATATTCAACCTGGCTTACACTATAATAGCCAAGACATTAAAGGTGGGGTCAGGCATTCTGGAGAGAGATAGTTTGATTGTTGAGTCTCATTCCCATTGTGTGTAGTTGACGACCTAGGATCACAAACCTGGGAATGAGGCTCAACAATCTTTCTCCAGAATGACTAAGCCCACCTTCAATCAGCTGTCCTGTCCTCTGTGGAAGGACAAACAAAACCAACTGCTTGCATGTCAAAATTATAATGCACTAATGTGCTTAAACGATCCCTCATCAGTGCATCCAGATTTGTTAATTGATAAGCTGAGGATGGACCAATCAGAAACTAGACGGCTCTCATTCCGTCCTATGACCTTTGTCTGCAACTGACATGAATAGAATTTGATGATAAAGAAAGGAATCATAGGATTTCAGCATTAAAGGTAATTATTGACCTTAATAGTTTGACAGAACAATCCCAACTCAAGGACCACTTTCTAGTTTTTCCTAAGCTTTCAGACACAAACCATCAGTCTTCATCAGATGGAGTTCAGTTACCATAAAGATGGATCTGTTGACTTGCAAGCTCAGTAGCTGGTTACATTAGTCAACACTGTCTTTTTGTCCATGCTGACATAAAGGCAAAGCATCAAAGACCCTTCTTGACTTTGGAAATAGATGATCATTTGATATGGGGGGAAAAATCTGTAAAAAGCTACTAAATGATCAACAAGTTAAAAGTGAAGCGGGAAATGGCCACACTCCAGCAAACTGCACTAAAACCACACACCTTAGCTCCATCAACATACAGGGTCATGTGGAGGCCGTTGTAAGTGGCCATCAGGTGAGTCCAGACGTTGCCTCGGTAGTGCTGGTAGCTATAGACAGTTGTGGATTTTACAGCTCGATCTGTGCGAAGTGTGAAGTAGAAGCGCGCGTCTTTGGTGCCGGCAGGTTCCACAGTGCGGATGCCTACTGACCAGCCCTTCTCACTCAGTGAATGGGAACAGTTGTCAAATACACCTATGGCAAAAGGGAAATGGGGAAAAGTAAAATGTATTACTTTGAAAGAACACTGGTTTAATTCTGACTGCAAAGTCAAAAGAGCTGCATAGTCAAAGGACAGCAAATTTACAAATAGCCATTGCCCCCATCAAAATGAATAAATGAACACACAAACAAGCAGTCTTTCTAAGTGATTGCAGTCCTGCAGACAAAAGAAAGAGGCGGCAGAGGTACAGTAAGGCTGAGAAACACAGGTAGAGAGGGTGAGACAGAGACAGAGAGAATAGACAGAGGCAGAGACAGCGGGAGAGAACAGAGAGGGGAAGGAGGACGGAGGTATTTCACTCAGCCAAGGCAAGGCCCTGATGTTTCCATCTGCTGTTGCAACAGACACACACAGATCCACATCTGCTCCCCAGATGTCTAACACTGGGACAGCAAAGGGTCAGGGAACCCCTTCACCCTCCTCAACACTGTATGTGTGTGTGTACATGTGTGTATGCTAACATGCGTATGTGTGCAAAAGTGTTAGTAAAATATCCCCAAGGAGGTGAGCCAGTTTCATGGTTAAGCATTTAATTCAGTTTAAAAAAGTGGCGGTTAGGACGCTACAGCTTTGCCAAGTGAATTAGATTATACTGAATGTCGCCTACTATACTATCAGATGTAATTACACAAAATACTTTAGTATCAATCTATGCATATCATAGTAACACGTGAAAAGCTAAATGTGCTACATAGTGCACTTAATCATCAATAAATCATCCACATATAAAAAAGTCAGCCTTTACATACACTGCATTTCCAAATCTGTATCACAAGCTCATTTCCTGGGAAATCTGTGTTTCACTCTTTCATGTAACAGCAGAAAAAGTACTGCCAAAAAAACGAAAACAACCAGGTTTACGGGAAATGTGGTCTTTATTTTGTGAGACACACATTAGTTCAAAGCTACCATTCATCTCATTTGGGAGATCCTAAAGATTTTAAAGCTGCATTTTTTTGGGCCACTTGGGGGCATTACAACTAGCCAAAAACACTGACATATCACCTTCTAAAGTTGTTGTGACAAACATGTTAGCAAACGATAAGCCATTTACACAATTAGCAGACGGGGAGCAACATCAGCATTCATGTTTCTGGCAATGTCCAATGTTCACTCTCCTTTTAACCAAGTCCTGTGGCTCTTTAGCTGCTAAATGCTCTACTATGTTCACCACCTAGTTGCTAAGTTTGTCTGCTGTTTCATGCTGAGCAGGTAGTGTACAGTATCAGAGTTTCTTTGCTGAAAAGAATGCCTCCTGTTGCTGGAAATGAGGTTGTTGAGAGCAGTGAGAGTCAATAAAAACAGCAAAATGGTGGGCCAGAAAATAAAACAAGATGCTAAAACGCTCTGTAGAGCTAAAGGGAAACTGAAGAGTTGGGGGATCATTTTGGCTCATCACTACGAGGGACCCCCTTCACATCACACATGGTAATTTCACCCATTGAAAATATTGATTGGTGCAGCTTTAAAAATGTTACATTTACAAGCCTACACTATTAAATGTAATTGAAATGCCATAAAGCGCCAACACTGGTTAAATAACATATGTAACCGCAATCTAAAGGTCATTGATATTTTCTGTGATCCACTATGCCATTCACTTAATTAAATAGCTATTCTTTTTCTCATAGATGGCACTGCATAGAGGCATGAAAAATACAAGATGGCTTTTTATCAAACCCAAAGTTAAAGGCATTTTATTTGACGACACCTGTTTTCTAACACATTCAATGTACTTGAATTCTCAGAGAAGAAAAATACGAGGTGGTCTACAGTTAACAAGGAAGGCAGGGAACTTTTTTATCGCCTAAATTTGAAAATCAAATCCGGTTTTAAGACCCAGACTATTCACCCTCTCAGCATGTAGCTGCACCACCAATGGGGCGGTCTTTTAACCTGCTTTCGATGTACCATTTTAATCTTGTACAGTATTGCTCTCTTGTGGAATTTATTAGAACTAGAACTGCAAGGATTACTCGATTAATCAATTATTTGTCAACTACAACCATTTTTTTAACCATTTTATGGACCAAACAACTAACCAACCAATTCATTGATAATAAAAATAATCATTAGTTGCAGCCCTAATTAGAACCAAATGAATATATTGACCAATATTGGTCATTATTATCAGCCAGTACTATCAGTTAACCACTTAGTATTTCCATGAATGTTGACCAAAAGGCAGTAAAATACCTATAATACGATATGCATCCCATAATAATGCAGCACCTAAAATGATATACAGTCAGTTTCATTATTACATTGTTTGTGGAGCAGCGTACTCTGGACTCTCGACATTCTGTAACACATACAGTAACAAAACAATAAAGGATGACATGCACAAACAAATAGATTTATGAGATCATCACTGACCGTTAGAAGTCAAACCAATGTCACTGTCATGTCATGTCTAGCAGAAACAATAGGAGTTTGTTTTTCACTGTATTTGCCAGATTCCTTCAGGACACTACAAAGAGAAAGGCCCATGCCACAAAATGCCGCCCTCACATAAGGAAGCAATGAGGGGAAAAAAGTTGAGTAATGGAGTCGGATCTTTGATCAGAGTAAATGTGAGTGGACGTAACAGTTTGTGGTCTCCCTCACTATCTGGACAGCTGTGGTGCTGCACCATAGCGCTTTTTAATTTGTTTGATGTACGTGTCGCTCTGTTAAATGTGCAGCTTCGCAAACGTAACATCCTTGATGCCGGCTCGTCGGGAAAACAGTTCATGTTCATCTTCATGTGAACAGCCTGGTTAAGTGACGGTTTCATGAGATCAATGTGTCTGCAGCCACTGCTCAGAATCAATGGAAACAGTCAAGAGACTCAATGACACACACCCTGGGAATTTACACGGTTATGTAACCGCATGCTTATTTAAAATGGCTTAAAAACTGTGTTACTGTCATCTGATACTGATCTGAAGTTATTTGTTTTTAATACAGGATCACCTGGATTTATCACCACCTGACTCTTGGTTTGATGGCTATTTGATGCACTTCACAATACACGGCACTGGGGCATGAAAGGAGTAGTGTTTTTGCTGTAATGACATAAAGAACAGGTATTAAACGTTATCATTAATAATGTAATCATGATAATAATAAACTTCTTCATCATAATCATCTTGGAATCACCACTGTGGCCATTGTGATCATCATCACTACCATCAGTACGTTCATAATAATCATATTTATCAGCACTGCAGTATAATTATCCTGTAACACTGTCGTAATCACATTGTCTTTGTCAGTAACATTATCCCATCATATTCATTATAATTGCATCATTATTGTTAGGATTATCCCATTATGTTCATCATAATTATCTGTACTGTCAGCAGGGGTCTAACCATAATTCAAACAATGCCAAGATTAAGAGGTTAAATCGGGGTAGGGGGTACTAGGGTGAGGTAGGGGGCGTAGGGCGGGGGATTGAGTCAGGTTAATGAGGGCGTGCTTTATGTGCTTTATGAGGGTTTTGTCCTTAATTTGATCATTTGACTGCACATGCTTGGTTTTAAATAATGTATGTATGATTACATTTGAGAAAGACTGAAACACCGCTGCCGTTTATGCGTGGTAAATGGAAAAAGACACAGACAAATGATACCAATATGACTCATGAACTGGGGGAAAAACACACAATATCTCAATACTAAAGTCTCAGTTAACCACTTTATTTCTTATGCTGACAGATCTGAGTGCAGTCCTCCTGCTTGTATAGAGAATGAGCCAGATGTGATGGGGAACCACAGATATATGCGTTATATCCCTGCATCAAAACGATGCTGGGTTTTTGAGGTTGATACTAATATTTGAGAGTTTTAAACGTCCAATATGTCAGGTCATTTAAGATTTTTTTTTACCTAAATACATAACATAAACAATGCTGATAGTGCTTCCTTAGATTTTTGTGACCTTTTTTACAGTTAAAGATAAACTTATTATTTCTCTCTGGTGGGCAAATAAACTACAGCATGGCGACACTGTCTCTAAATAACTTCAAACCTACGTTGGCATTTCTGTAACACGAACCAACACTCATGTATCTGTAATGAGCTGATATCAGCCGATATATCGGCCTGGCTGATTCATGATGTGCCTGACATGTCTTCAAATGTCTTGTTTTGTCTGCCCTACAGTCTAAACCCCAAACAAACTTGATTTACAGTCACATAAATCATCATATAAACCAGTGTTTGGTCAGTTTAGAAATGACTTAATGAGTAATCAAATTTACTGTCAACCAACTAAGCAATTATTAATCAAATTCTTTCAGCACTAAATGTCATCATGTATTCCTGATGGCTGTCACCACATCCACAGTAGAAACCAAACAGAGTGAACCCTGGGTAAACTCTGTTTGACCTTTGTGGCCAGAAACAGCCTCCTGAGACCAGTATCTCTTTTTTCATGGAAACCATTTAACAAGAGAATTTTCACACAGCACAGGGAGATTGCTGTTAAACGGGAAAACGCAAAATGCTGTTAGGGTTACTAGATATAGTATAGCTGTCACAAGCAATTTGCAACAACATACATTCAGCACCATGTATCTTGTGCGCGGCCGTGGAACCCAGGCTACTTGCACAGAGCGGGAGAGAGCGAGCGTAGGGAAGCAGACTGTGAGAGGTTGGAGACTGACCGGCCATAAGGCAATTAAAGAGACTGATGCTGGATCATGGCAACCGACAGGTGATATAAACACACTAAACACAGACAGAGGACCGAGTCCACAGCTTGAGACCAGAAAGTTGTCTATAAAAAATAATGAATTCACGTATTCCCCTTCTGCTGTCAAGTGTGTGGCCATGGTCGGTTTCACCCACCTGCTATGACTGCGGGGTTGCTCTGCCCTCCCTCGGGCTTCACCCACAGCTCCAGGCTGAACTTGGCCCTCGGCAGCTCCACTCCCGCAGCCGGCTTCACCCTCAGCTGCTCCCGACGCCCGCTGAAGTACAGGGCGGTCATCCAGGAAGGGGGCACCCTCGGCACGGGGCTCCCCCAGGGAGAGGAGCTGCCGACGGGCACGCTCGCCGGCGGGTCCGCCTCCTCCACCTCCCCGGAGTAGTCCTCGGTGGCGTCCTCCAATGTCCCGCCGGTCGAGGACTGCTGGTCTCCATCTTCCTGCTGCAGCCTGTAGAGGACCTGGAGCCCCCTGGAATCTGTCGTTGAGCTGTCGGGGAAAACTTTTTCCCAGCTGGAGTTGCCCTCTTCCTCGTAGGGAAACCCGCTGCCGAGGCTGCGCGTGAGCCTGGAGGGGGAGCCGCGCGGAGGCTGCGCGTGCCCCGAGGAGGAGACTGTCTGCCCGGCGTCTTTGAGCGGAGACACCCCGGGCGGCTGTGTGGCGTCTGTACTGACATCATGTGTCTCTCTCCCGTCGTTTGTGGAGCGTTTCTCATAAAGCCGCCCGGGCAACGTAACGTATCCGTTCCCCGCTTCCGCCGCCGCAGACGCCGCCGCAGGCTCCTTCGTGTCCCCCCATCTTTCCTTCTCCTGCCGCGCCGGAGCGACTCGGCGCACCCCGGTATCAAACCCGCACCCTCCTGCACAAACCTCAGGAGCGCTCCTAACAGTGTACAGCTCTCTCCGGCTCGTGTGCGTCCTCGGACGGGCCGCTGGAGGGCGGTGTTGGGACGGGGAGAGGGAGCGGGGTTGCAGCCGGGACCTCCAGACGCCGGAGACGGTGCAGGGTTCACCTGCTAGCCTGGAGAGCTCACGGTCCGCCCGCCGGACCATGGCGTGTTTGTACCGGCTGAGTGCATCGGAGCGGACCGGGCTGAGCAGCCACGTGTTGGTGATGAGGACGAGGAAGATGGCCAGTAGTCTGATCAACAACATTTTGTCAGGTTGGGGAAGGGATTTGGCGGGGTTTTGTTGAAGATAAAGGAAGAAAATAAAGTTCTTAAGAGTGTGTCTCTGGTTTCCAGGTCAGCAGCAGGAGGTCTCACACCAGGTTATTACATTTATTTGCGCACATTTACCCAGCAATAAAGAAGGCTGTTGAAGTTGCCTGTTTTGGGATTTTTTTTTATTTCTTCTTTGTCAAACAAATAATGAGAGTTAATCCAAACTTTCAGTGCATTCTAAAGGGATTCAACTAATAAAGAGGATGTCACATTCAAAGTGTCTCACATGCATTTATTGCATCTTGAGGTTCTTGGTATATGTTTTGCTTTTGATTGTTAACACTCCTGCACAATCACAGAAAACGATCCGATCTAATCCTCTCTTGGCGCAGCTGCAGTGGCTCTCCACACTCGTGCACTTTGCGCGGACCTTTAGGGGCGACGCTTTGCCTCCTTTCCATCCATGCAGCCTATAGCCACTGTCTGCAAACTATCTTCTTTCACTTAGTTTCTGTTAACAGGTAGAACAAAACAACGTCCAACTATTTCTGTCTGCGTTGATCAGGGAGCTCATGAGGTAAAGAAACTATGTTAAAACCAGGCTGATTCCAAATTAGCCAGAAACAGAATTATTTTATTGCTGAGTGAAATGTGGAAGCAGTTTCCTTTTGCTTTAAAAAAAAAAAATCTGATTTTATTTGCACGAATAAATCAGGTGGAATCGGATCACTTTCATTCCATCCCTGACTTTGCGCAAAGCCTCTAATTTCTTTTACCCTGACATTGCGGCATCATACTGTGCGTCCTGCCCCTCAAAATATGGCTGCAAAGGTGAATCAGAGTATTCAAATAAAAAAGTCACTCCAGAGGCAAATTGAAGTGCAGTGCAAAGTGCCAGCCCTGAAATAGCCCTCTACTTGTTGAGCAGAAGCTTTTCCTATAATAATTTCTGAGAGAGGACAAAAAATGATTAGTCCGTTCAGTCACCAGAGCTCGGCGTCAGCTCCTCTTCTTGTGCGTCTGTGTGCGCTTCCAGAGAGTGACTTGCTGCTCCTCTGCACCGGTCCATGCAGTAGTAGTAATATCCTCCTCCATTCACTCCTCCATCTCTCTCTCTCTCTCTCTCTCTCTCTCTCTCTCTCCCTCTCTCTCATTCTCTCGAGTCCAAAAGGTTTTTTTTTTTGGTTTTTTTTTTACAGGGAGACCCTACCCGCCCTGACATCATCACCGGTAGGGGGAAGTGTGGTGGTGGTGGTTGTCCTTCCCTTTGCCTCACACTTGGGTTTTTACAAGGGAAATCCTCTTCTCTCCTCATTCCCCCAGCTGCCCCAGTCCTGTGCTGTGCATCCCTCTGATGCAGAGAGGGGGCGGCAGGAAAGAGGTTGTAAAGTTTATTTATGTATTTATTATTCTTGTCCTGACCCCATTCATCTGCCCATCCATCTCCTGAAGTAAAAGTAGCAATACAAGAGTGTGAAAATATTCAGTTTCAAGCAACACAGCGCTATTCAGCAGCGGCGGGATGTGATACTAAGTTAAGTACAATTTTGAGCTTCTTGTATTTTACTGGAATCATTCAATTTCATTCCACTGCACTACACTTCAGAGGGAAATATTTATGCAAAAGAATGTGATGCAGCTTGTAAAATCAATGCATATATAGATATGATATTTATAGAGGAAACCACCCCATGAACAGAATGTACTGCATAATATACTCTACCTCCACCAACTAAAATGCAACTCATACATTAATGCATCATTAATAATATTAATAACCAGATAATAGTACATTTTGATAATACATAATTGACACTTTTAGTGCAGGGTGTATTTTTATGTCACAGCACTTTTACTCACTATGTAAAGGATTTTCCTCCACCACTGGCACAATGTTATGAAGCAAAATTGTACGTATAATACTGTACATTTTGTATCAAAAGCAAAAGTACTTATTATTGAGAAAATGTCCGATGTGAGTGTATATCATTATCAGTGCTGTTACTGGATGATGCATTTATGTCACAGTCTTTTCCTGTTACTTTATAATAGTTTATATACTGTCTGGTAATTCTATACAAATGCATAGAGTTAATTTTATGTGTCAAATATGAATGTGCACAGTAGCCAGCTGTGAAATATATAGTAGTATAAGTATAAATAATAATAATAATAATAATAATAATAATACCTTGAGTAAATGTACTAACCGTCCGTATCTTCTTAATAGGAGGCTCTACTGTCAGTCTGGCAGCGGATGAATGATGTTGGAGGTGGCTGAGCCGGGGGGGTGGGGGGGGTTGCTTTTGCTACAGTAACATAAGTCTGTTTGATCTCTCCCTTGCCACCCCTCACTCTCACTCTCACACACACACACACACACACTCCAAAGTGAAGGAGGTGAGGTTTGAGTAACCCTCCCTCCCTTCCTCCCCCTCTCCTCTTCCACCCCATTTCTCTTTTTCTCCCCCAACCTCCCTCCCTCCCTGTTCTCTTGATCTATCTGTGAGTATCTCACTCACTCATGCTCTGGCTCTCCTCAGTGCTACAACACAGACAGGCACAACATCTGTCTCGCACATGAAAAGGGGTTTTGTGAGCTTTTTATCATCCAAATATGCTACCTGCTTTGTGCCGAACCCTTGTGCTCATGTGGGCCGAGCCAGGGCTGAACAAAACAAATCGGGAGAAGGCAGTGGGTAAGAGGGGGAATTAAAAGCAGGGGAGATGGAAGGAGAAATACATGGAGGAATATTATGAAACAAAAGTGGAAGTGAAAATACCACAAACACTATTTTTAATTATTCTATTTTATTGATTTTGCTGTATAAACAAATACAAAAATTCTCCAATATAGAAAAAATCATGTTAAACACGCAATAATCTATACGGATAATCACACATATACATTCACAAATAAGATTATTTGAACACATAATAGGATATCGCTCTGTTTAGGACATTAAAAATGTGTTATGTTTGACAAAAAACATTTTTTAACCTAAAGTTCACTTACTCATATTCTCTGGGGCTGTCAGCCATGTGATGAGTCAAAGTAACTTTTCCAAGGTTTGAATATTAAACACATTTCTTACTTTAAGGATGTGTGTGTCTGCTTTCATACATTCTGAGAAAATATTACATTTAAAATCTCACAATCTGAAACAGTCTGTATTGTCGCATCACACCAAACAGTGGAAAAATACACCAGATTTTTCCTTTCATTCCTGCTTAGCCAGCAGAAGAAGTGACCTACAGTCATACCACACACACACTGAGTTTAGCACCAATCGCAATATTATCCACCTTCTTCATGTGGTGTTTTTGTAGTTTATCATATATGGGTGTGCATTTTGAGTCATTAAAGAAATACCTTTGCGAATGGAAAAATTGCTTTTTGGCAACTCATGCAGGCTAACTCAAAAGACAGGTGTACCTGCTGAGATGTTTCCAGAAACTGCAAAGCAAAATCTATACTGATATTGAAAACTTTACAGCTACAATATACTGTCAGCTGTTTGTAGAATTTGGTTGAGGATTTCAAAGCGCCAGTCCTCTCACAGGATTGATTTGTGCAGCTGTGTTCATGTTTATGCAGACAAATTCATTCACGTATTTTATCATGATGCACTCGCTCATTATTTAAGCTACCACAGGCAGCTGTTGCTGTTCCACACCATCAGAAACGCTGCCCCTTTCTTCTCCCCCAAAGACCCCACTATTTTTTGTCAGGCTCACTTTGCAAACAGGGCCCTGGCTCGAGGCTGGAGATGGAGATGGAGGAGGAGGCCGCTGGCAGTTATGGCAGGGGCCCCTGAAGGGGCAAAAACGGTTCCTAAAGAGTGGGAGGCAGGAATTCCACAATCCCAGCCTGCCTGACTGAGGGATCTGCCTGCTAAACATTCAGCTTTTTCTGCTGGCCAAGTGCCCTTTGAAATCCAGCTGCAACTGTGTTGGAAAAAAAAGACAAATAGGAGGGGTGGGTTTTAGAGAAAGCAACAAAAAAGGGAGGGAAAGAGAGGATGAAGGAGAAGAGACAGAAGAGGAAGAGAGAGCAATAGAGGGGTGTGCAGTGTGTGTGTGTGTGTGTGTGTGTGTGTGTGTGAGAAAGTCTGAATGGGCGTGCTCCACCGGGGCCTCACCCCCCGCTGTAAGGGACCTCCACAGATTATCCTTCATCTGAGCTTGTCGGTCTTGACCCCACCGACCCTGAGGCCCGCTCTCTGTCTTCCCCTCTTTCACTCTCTCCCGCTCTGTCTCTCTCTCTCTCTCTCTCTTTCACACACACTTTTCCTCGCTCGCTCATTCGCTTCCCCACACACCCTCATTATTTCCTCTGTGTCACTCACTCTTTCTCTCTTACCTCGCTGCCGCTCACTAACCTCTAGCTCACCCACACCACTGACCCTCCACCACCACACACATCCCCCCCACACACACATATACAACGTGGTTCCTCATGCAAAAGGGGGGGGGGCAATAGGAGAAAATCCAGGCTGATGTGCAGGACAAATGAGGAGGGGAAGAAAGAAGAAAAGGGGAGAAAGAAAGAAGGCATGCTTTTCACCACCACTGGTATAAAATAGAATAGGGGGAGGGAGAAGGGGGGGGTGAATGCAACATGGTGTATATACAGTTCTGCTGGTGTTTGGTTCAAAAGATCTTATTCAGAGTCAGTATTTTATGTATTTAAGGTGTTTCGAATTATTAAATCTTTATATGTGCACTTATTTATTATCCCGTCTCTTCTGTGGATCTGCACGGTATGTTATCTCTGTAAAACCCAGAAGTCATATTTAAAAAAGTATGGAAAGCAGTGTGAAAAAAAACACCCAGTTTCCCAGTTTGTAGATTTAACATGTATCAGTATGGCTCAAATTGTGACATATTTGAATGCAATTAAACACAAAATTGCATAAATACTTGTATTTTTATTCCTGGTATTAGTACAGTGACTTGCACCTACTTTAGTCACATATTAAATTGAACCCAGCATGACTGACCTCTGCAGCCCAAAAAGACATTTTACATGCACACGGTGGTCCTTCTCAGGGAAATTAATTTACTCTTCGATGTATCCAGTAATTTTCCTCTTGCTGAGAACCTTATTACACATCCTAACTGAGCTCTGTAATGATACATATAAACTTCTTCCGCAAACAAAAACATGGGAAAATCCATGTTGTGCGTGACTACGTGGAGGACCCCTTGTTTGCCCACGTGGAGGTAAAAATGGAAAAGCAAGTAGCAGGCCTGCATAAACTGTGAGCGTGAATACGTTAGTGCTCCTTAGGTTTTATTTGCAGAGCTGCAGGTGGATGCTTGGATGACATGACACTGTTTTTCTTGGCCCGGCTGCTGGCCTGCACTTTGTGGATGTGACCTACCTGCTCGGTTTTTTGTTTTTGTTTTTTTGATGTAAAGGCAATATCGTGTGAAAGAAATGACAAATATGAGGAGACACTGAAATCATTATACTCTTCAAAAAGGAACCTGTGTTTTATATCCTAAGAAATAATCATGATGTTCCTATAATTTTCTGAGGTGGCCATTTTTAACCTCTTAGGAATCATTTTGTGCATATTGTGATATTTTTGTATTAATATTAAATATAGAATATTGGCTACATCCAACAAAACTGATGGGAAGCCCTTAATTTGCTCTTATTTAATGCAACATTTTGATCACATTCCATATGGTGTACAGTTTGCCAGTATGGCTTTTGCGGTTTATCCTGAGTTTCAACTAAAAATGAGGGAATTATT